GTTCAAGCACAGTGAAATTATCTCGAACCCACTTATTTTCATCAGTTAAATCGATCACTTTTTAAAAGCTTCATTTAACTATGATCATCCTCACATTGCATAGGAGACTACTGACTCTACTAACCAGTAACTTCTTCAACAGTCGAGTTGAAAACAATGTTTGTGTTGAAAAGCAATCTATTATGTCAACACCTCAAGGATTTCCTTATTTTCGTGATACTTTCTTCAGCTCTTTATTTCTACCTTACTTCTTGCTGTTCTCTTTTTAACGTTTATGGAAGGACCTACAACTAATAACAGTTCTTCGTGTTCAACGAAAACAGATTACTATTGTATTGGCTTCAATAAAACTAGGCATATTCTTTGACACTACTTTCTTCAACTGACATCATTGTCTCATTATTGCAAGATTCTCTGAATGTTTCGCTGTGTAGGTAACAACTTATGTAACAGAAATAACGGCATGTTGTCATGAAATAGTCAGTTCCTTTTATTAACGTTGACAAGACGATAAAGAAATGTAATGTAACTGAAACCTGTGACGTATTCGAAAACTCTGATCATATATGTACTTGCCATATACATTAGTTTGAAGTTAAGCAAACAGACCAAAATAAAAACAGTAAATCACCGATGAAAATACAAATATAATGTGAAAATTACACTTGATCCTGAAGCTAAGTTATCGGATGAAGTTGTTTTTTAACATATAAAAGAAGTCTTAATTTCCTTTATGTCAAAGCCTTGATAAACTGATGTATATGCTTCCAAAACAAGATATTCAGCAAAGAGGACTCTTTTCAAGGAATTTATTCTCAAGCTGTACATTCGTCTATATGTGATATTTAAAGACTGTAATCCATGAGAAAGATTTAATTTAAATAATTGGGGATTGAAATAATGATAATGGTGGTTGTAATTATAATGTTGCTAGTTGATGACGTAAAGGTCGAATGATAACAAAAAGGGTTACATAAGGTTTTATATATGATGCACATAGATTAAATAGGTGTGACACTCAAAGGATTAGGTAATATGAATGAGACAAGTTAATTGGAATAAATTGAAAATGTTTTGTTAAAAGTTGCAATTATTAGGAAGATCACATAACATAACGCCGGAAACAATTAAATATAAAAATTAAGTGATAATGACGATATAAGAGTACAAAGATTAATCTGACAAAAAAGGGGAGAGAAGTGAAAGAACGAAAAAGGAACAAAGCACACCAAGATTAAAATAGAGGCCAAGATAGAGACAAAGACTGTACATACTTCTTTTGCAAATGAAGGTCAGGCTTCAGTTCATGGATGAACACAATTGGGAAACGCCGGTATGTGTGACATCGTTATTCTAATACTGTAAGGTTTAACATAAGTATGTAAGCTTGGATACCCTCGAGTGGAACCAAGATGGAAAGCGACGAGTTGGGCGTCCGAAGCGAGGGTGAGATGAAGGAGATCGTGCAAGGAAGAAATGCGAGGTTGTGGCAGTCGTGGAGTCAGGTTCGAAAGGTAGCAGAGAACAGAGTGCGCTAAAGACGTGCTATTGAAGCCCTATGTTCCACTAGGAACCCAAGGGACAAATAATAGTAATAATAATTCAGTTCATGGATAGCTAAGGCCTCTGCTGTGTTTAGAAGCTGAACATAGAGGAAACGTGAGGTGTTTGAGCGAATTTGATGGACAACCTTAAAATCATTGTTTGAATCGGCTGAATAGTTGGAATCGATTAAATGTTCAAGGATAGAACTTCTGATGCATTTCCTTTCACCCTTATAAGACCAGGCAGGAATATGTTCTCATATACATGTTGACAGCAATCTCTAACTTCGTTGAAAAGAGTCCTCTTCGCTGAATATCTTGTTTTTGATGTCACAATGGGAATTATGAACGTATATGCTTCAAACACATTTTGTGGTCGAAGTGATTCTTTTTGGTATAGACGACGTTGAATATCTACTTCTGGGGTTGGTTGTGTTTATTTGGTTGAATTTATTGTTGTTACCATTTTTGTATGCTCTCTGTTACCTACTTTATTTGAACATATTTATGAGCCTTCTTTATATATGTTACCACACGTACATCTAAAGTGGGAAACGCCGGTATGTGTGACATCGTTGTTCGAATACTGTAAGGTTTACAGAAGTATGTAAGCTTGGTTTGCTTTATTACCATGAACCCTGTTGCGCACTATACTCCATAGATGATTGGTTTAAATTTTAGTCTTGTGGTTATATGTTGAGGATCACTTCTGTAAGACAACGTGAGATATATTTCTTTTTAAGGATGATTGGTCCATCCTTCTTAACATTTCCGTGACAATTAGTAAACTTCGACGGATAACTATTATCGTGGAAAAGCTTTTTCAATTTTTTCTTTAAAGTACAAATACTGGTTTAGGTACTGCTGTCTAAAGGAAATCAGCACACTAACAAGTATTTAGACTTCAGTTTATCACACCCTTTACCAGTTGAATTGAGTTCAGCGAAGTGTTTCAAGAATAGAGCTATAAAACTCATTGGTTAACTAAAAGGCCTAAACAATGAACTAAGTTAAATAAAGGAGACACTACTGATCAACAGTTGTTCTGTGGAGTTCATCAAGACATCAGTAAGAACATATAGGAAAACAAGTAGTATTATCACGAGCAGTAACTAAAAGATATATGGAAAGGAGTTCCCTGTAAAATAAGAGCATCACCTACTTTACGCAGAATTGAAATTGAGACAGTATTTTATCCTGAAAACTAATTTTTCCGCCTTAATGATACTATTGACCCAATTAAGTAAAATAATTTGACCCATCAAATTACCATGCAATGACTGGAATGAAACATATAGCTAAAACCAGTTGTTTAGGGTTAGTTAAACCATCAAGGCATAGGAATTTAGCCAAATTTGGAACGGCAAATAAACCCCACCAAATCAATAATCTTTTTTGTTAAATCATCTTTTGGAATGCATACATTGACAATTAATCATACCATACGGTTGGATAAAGCAACTATACTCAATTCAAATATTTTCAAGTGGGAATTGAGGTGGGTTACACTATCTCTGTTCATCGAATCAACTTGCAACAGGTCTGATTTACCACACTGTGGACATTTGGAAAATTCTAGTACCATTAAGAAAAGGATTAGAAGCTGTTGAATGATAAAAAAGAATTCAACAGCGGTGAAAACTGTAATTTACCTTCATGAAAACTTTGAAAGAGGTCAGTGGATCTCAGCAGATGCTTCTAAACTAATGACTGCACTTGAACACATCCTTGTAGGCTTTACTCAAACTGAGTACTGGAAGCAACTCAGATGTAGACTGACAAACAATTTACGCAATAAATGTGAGCCCAAAATGTTAGAGACGGAAGTGGCGATAAGAAATAGTAGACAGTTATTTAGGCTAATCTAGGAAGTTGGGGTAAAAAGAGCCAATGTCTAGTGTGAGCATAGCAATGAAGGATCGATCTGCGATCCACTTGTAGAATAGACGACTGCAACGATGTACACAAAACTCAGAGGAACAGCTTAACTAGCCTCCAGCTACTATTTCGTTGCTCATTATCCAGTCGATTTGTGAATGAAACATTGGGGGTAGGGTTTCTAACTTTTGCGGAAGCTGAGATGGCTCCAAATAACCTGAAATAACCAAGGGCAGTGGCAGCAGATGGGTAATACGGAACGTGTTTGAGACTGTAGTCGATAATTATTAACCACGTTAACTGTAGCGTTAGCTGGTGTATGGGAATCAGATATGATCTCCTCCGACTGGGTTCTACAGTTATAAGACGTTTATGCGAACCTGGGGAATAACGAACCTGAGGAAAGTAGGCAGGCTCTGGACCTGGTTATGAGTTTGTCGATCAGATATCCACCTGTCGCCAAGTTCTGGAACACAGGCACACTTACTGATGCCTGATACTAGCTGTATTTCTCAACCTGGAGGAGACATTCATCTTTGTCTATTGGAAGGTGTCATGGCAGTGTCTCATTGAAAGAGCTTCCGGTTAAGTTCATCACTTTACGAAAAACTTTGTACTCTGTTAGTCTTGTGATATCAGGTGAGTTTGTATACTTTGAGTGTCCACTCCATTGTTGTTTACTATGAGGTCAAAGCAACTTAAGAGGCATGTGATATCAGTGCATGAAATCTTGGACTGTTGATCTGATCCGTCTGGGGGGACGTAGGCTTTCCTGTTGGGATCCACGTAACGACTGAAATCAGTGGTTAGACTTGATTTGACTTCTGGTATATCACTGTAGCACAGATGCATCCATATATTATCTTCACCTTCCTCGTCATTTGCATTTTGTTATTGTTTTATCGCTTTTTTATGCCTCTCTACAACCTTTTATTACACTCTCTCCCCCTGCCTTAGATCCTGATGAGCTGATTTGAGGGTGTATCAACTTGGATTGTTGCGTAGTAGTTTCACGTTTCACCAGTAGGTTGTCTATTTTTCGGAATTGATTGCTACCAGGGCATTTCTTTTCGTCTCTACCAATTAGACTACTGATTATTCACGGTTTCGAATCTATTTGTAAACATCACATCAGTATGTCAATGAACGTTGTTTGACTACAGCGTTAGACAAGGAATACTGACTTGTTGGGGATAGTTTATATAACAGAAAAGTTTTAAATCTTTCGAGCCTGTCAGCCTGCCACATAACAGACTGGAAATTCAGCGGCTTTCAACCTCAGTAACAAGCAGAAATCTGTCTTTAGAATATAACAAATAAAGTAGTGAAGGCCATTGGTTCCCACTTTACTTTTAAGAGCTTGTTCTAAATCCCTATAGTTTTCAACAGATGATATTATCTGTTTACAAACGATAAAAATGCTCTGTTTAATGACCGTGGATACACTGGTTAGGCTCCTTATTCATGCTGTAAAGTGAAGAGGTTATTACCATATTATTTTTTAGAATTTTACAGTCAGTCATATCTATTTCTCCTGACATCTTATCCTTCTTACTTTCCAAATTTGTTTTTCTAAAGCATTCCTGGGATCTATGCTGAACACTGCTGCACCACGTGATGGGTATACAATGTACAATGAAGCTATTGCATCAGTCTACTCATATCCTTGGTTTCATTTTATTTATGCTTTAGCCACTTTATATCTAATGACTCAGTTGACTAACTGGTATAAGTAAGTTTATGTTTCTAATCAGTATTTCGTTGTTTTAATTCAATAATCAGTATTGTTTTGTAACCAACTGGCTAACATGACCTACATAAATGTAACCTAGTGGATTCAAATCTTGTAAATTAATATCTATTCCAATTATAACACTTAAATTATGGACAGCCAACAATGGAAGTGTCATACATTTATTTCCCTTGACAAATTTGAACAATGCAATCACAAAGACATTTACAGAATAAAATGAGCTGATTTTGTTCCCCCGTCTTTCCTCAGCTGCAAACAGCCTACAATTGAGATGAAGTAATAATAGTAGTAAGAATGACATGACATACTTCAAATATGTAGAAATAAGTGAAGATTCGAAATCCAGGGTTATCAATAAGGTAATGAGTGAGTTGAGAAAATACAGTTTCAATAATTACAAATCTTGGTCAAAATCAGCGGCAATTTATGTCTTATGAGATAGTTCTGGAGCTGTGGGAAGAACAGGACCACAAACAGAGAGAAGTGTAAACTAAGGGGTTGGTAAAAAGCTGGTAGGTTGCGCAATCGTATGAAGACTAGTTCCGTGCAGACTTTGTTCAAAAGGGGGAGACAACACACTTCTGTACAACAACTTCACAGAGAAACGAAAAAAATTACTTGATGTCTATCCCAAAGAAGAACGGCTACTCGCAACACTTTATCAGAAGATACCTATCCCGTACATCATCAATTACAGAGTCATCGACAGAAATCAACGAATGCATCGTCCTAGCATACATAAAGAATATATCAGGAATCACGACAAGATTGCTGAGACCACTTGGAATTGGTGTGCCTCATAAACCAACAAATTCCTTCCAAACCCTATTATGCAGACCAAAGGAGGCAACAACCAAAGAAGACAAACCGAATATCATTTATAAAATCAACTGCAATAATTGTGGTCGATGCTACATTGAACAAAGTGGTCGCCCTCTTCGCCTTCGTCTACGTGAACACCAATTGCCTATTAAAGTCACATATGACGTTTCATCACTCATCTTAATGCACATGGATAATTATGGACATGAATTCAATGTTGACAATGTAGAAATCTTGCACAAAGAGAAGAAACACAACGATTATCAGAGAACTCTTAGAGACTTAGCATTCAGGGCAGTCAGTAATTAATAGATGCATAGACCCAATGAGAAAAATGATAAACAACAGTAAGGTCAGATGTCAAGCAGAGAAACAACCAACAGGAAAACCTATACAATCAAAGGAGACAACAAATCATAAACCAGTTCGTCAGGGAAAGCTACTAAACCACTCATGGAGAAATATTGACAGCTTACTTCACACTGAAGTTAATTCTGAAGATGTCATCTGGAAAGGCCATGAAAGCTCCATGATTAAACAACCCAGCTCAGAGTACACAGTACAACCGAGACTTATTATTATTATTGTTTGTCCCTTGGGTTCCTAATGGAACATAGGGCTTCAGTAGCACGTCTCCAGTGAACCCTGTTCTCTGCTACCTTTTGAACCTGGTTCCACGACTGCCCACAACCTCTCATTTCCCCCTCGCACGATCTCCTCCATGTCACCCTCGCCTCGGACGCCCAACTCGTCGCTTTCCATCGGGGTTCCACTAGAGTGCCTGGCCTGGCGCGTGATGTCCCCAGTCGGCCTTCTCAGTGTATGCCCCGTTCAATCCATCTCCACTTCCTTCCACTGCATATTTGTTCAGCGACAGCTTCTTCGTTGGTTCGTTACCCGGCCAGAGTTCTTTGTTGCTTATTCTTATTATTCTGGCCATCTGATCTTCAGTAACGAGCCAGCGTAGGCGGCAGTTGTTGATGAATGTGTGTAGTTTGTTCGAAATGCCTTTCGTACTAAGCCAAGTCTCTGGACCATACAGGAGCACTGACTTGACTGAAGTTGGTGTTGAAAATCCGGATCTTGTTCCACATGCTGAGTGTAGTGTAGTAGATCTCCACACTGGTTTCAAGTTAATTCAGGAAGGCCTGTCTTGCTTTTCCGATCCTGGCTGGCTATGACGTCCTCGTATGTGCCGCCTGAAGTTGAAACGGTGCTGCCTGGATAGGTGAAGGAGGCCACCTCCTTAGGTTTCTCTCGTTGATGGTGATTGGAGCTTGTTGTTGTTGGTGGTGGTGGTGGTGGGGTTGGTTGGGTATCTTCATCACCTCTATCTTCTCTAAGTTCACTTGAAGTCTCGTCTTCGCTGCCTCTTCTGTCAACTTGTTATTTTTCACCTGTAGATCTTCGAGTTTGTGTGACATCAGACACAAGTCATCGGCGAAATCCAAACCTAGAATCTTTTCCCCGGTCCAGCGTATCTCCCTCTTCTCGCTCCTCACTGTTTGTTGCATGATCCAGTCCACTACAATCAGGAATATCATGGGTGATAGTAGATAGCCTTGTTTTACTCCTGTCTTCACTTCAAAAGCATCACTGAGCTTCCCATTGTGAATTACTTGGCATGTGGAATTTTCATATAGTTGTCGAATGAGATTGATAAAGGTTTGTGGTATTCTGTAGTAATGAAGCAGTTTCCAAATTTCTTGTCAGTCGACGCTGTCAAATGCCTTTTCAAAGTCGATGAAGTTGAGGTAAGATTATGATTTGACTGCCATTCTATACTCTGTTCTATGATGGTGTGAAGTGTTGCAATTTGGTCCGCACATGATTTGTACTTCCTGAATTCAGCCTGTTCTGGTCGTAGTTTTGAATCCAGCGCATCCTTTAGTCTCTTCAGGATGATGCGGCTTAATATTTTACTTGTCTGGGGTGGACAGATGCATGATTCCTCTCCAATTCTTACAAAGACTTAGGTCTCCCTTCTTTAGGATTCTGACAAGGTAGCCCTTCTTCCAATGAATGAGCAGATACCTTCCCTTCCTTCTAGACTTTCTGCAGTAGTGGTGTGAGCATGTCCGCTGTTGTCTGTCTCTGCATCTGTTCTCTGTGCTTCTGGTGGGATTCTATGTAGTCCTGGTGCTTTCCCGCATTTCAGTAACTTTATGGCGCTCAGGACTTCGACTTTTGTTGAAGGATTTGTGTTCACTTGTAGTTCAGCTGCTGCAGGTGGTATTTCTGGACGAAGTGCAGGTGGTGGTCGATTCAAGAGCTTTTCGAAGTGGTCGGCCCATTGTTTCCTTTATTTCTCTTCTTTCGTAATTAAATTTCCATCATCATCTTTTATTGGTTTCATCTGTGTTGATCTCTTCCCAGATAGTAACTTGGTTACTTGATACAATGTTGTCAGGTCTCTATCTCTCCTACCTGCAGCCTGTTCTGCTTCACTTGCCAGTGTTTCGTAGAAGTATATTTTGTCTTTGCGTGCACTCTTCTTCACTTCTTTGTCCAGTGTAGTATTTTATACATTATACTCAGTTCCTCTTGTCGTTGTGCATCCTTGCATTGGTTCATCTTCTGCTTCACCATCCTCGTCTCCATGCTCTATCAGCTTTCATGTGTCCGTCAACATGCTTTCCTTATCTTCTTTCTTCTTCCTTCCTAATACGGTTATGCAGGTTTCCTTCCACATCTTTTTCAAAGACTTCCAGTGTTCGTCCACACAAGTTTATTCAGGAATGTTCCTCGATATCTCCCATTTTGTCTTGATGGCTGACGTGAAGTAGTTTCATCCTCCACTTTCTGTTCTGGGTGTTGAACTTGAACTGTGGTCTATCATCAGCTTCCTTGAAGGCTTTTAACTTGATTTGGAAGGTTCCTTGCACTAGACAGTGGTCTGAGCCTACATCTGCTCCTCTTCTTGACCTTGTTCTGGGTGTTGAACTTGAACTGTGGTGTATCATCACCAGCTTCTTTGAAGGCTTTCCACTTGATTTTGAATGTATGTTTCGTGTACTAGATAGTGAGTGGTGTGAACCTTGATGTGCTCCCACTCTTGATGTTGTGTCCAGTAGGCTGCATCTCCACTTTCTTCGCATTGAGATGAAGTTGATTTGATTTTTGGTGTGTCCATCTGGTGTCTGGTGAAATCAAATCCATGTCGCTGCCTTGTGAATATCCTTGTGTTTGTACACACTACCTCCAATGACCAAACCGTTGAATGTGCAGAAATCTGCAAACAGTTCTGTATTGTGGTTCATTTCACTGAGTGCTTCTCGACCTATGATGAGTACTCTTCGTGTGTAGTCTGCTCCCAGTTTGGCATTCATGTCAGCCCACCCATTAGAATTTTGATGTCTCCATCTTGGCTGGTGTCTTGTCCAGTAGTGATTTCAGTTGTCTATAGAATTCCTCCTTCTTCTCTTGATGAGGATTATTTGTAGGTGCGTAGGATTTGCATTGTACGATTGTGACTTTCCTTCCTTTTGAGTTGAATGTTGGTGTCATGATGCTGGAGGATGAGATTGGTTTCCACTGTATAAGAGAGAGAGAGAGAGAGCCTTTGATGCTGTTTGGGACATCATGATAGCCACTGGCAAACTCAGTGTGGTCGTGGTTATAGTCTGGGTGACAATATGGGAGTAGATTATTGACTCTGGAGTTGACAGTTTGGAGATTCCACTCCCATTCCATCTGTTTTCGCAAATTCTTAACACTTGAATGCGATATCTTCTCATGTCTTTTGCAATCTGGACAGCCTTGCTAGGTTCAAACATAGTGCGGACATTCCATGTCCTCACGTTTACTTTCACTTTCATCGAGGGAGAGAAGGCACATCGGCCGGGCCAATTGGCTTCCCGAAGGCTTTCACCAACCGGTGTCATTTCGCCTCTCCGATTCCAGCGAGGAATGAGTTTGTTTTTATTTTTTATATTTTTTTTGTTCTTCGAAGTTTGCTTGGGGATTGGATTGGTTTTCCGGGGCAGGGTTGCTAGCCCTATGCCCAGCCTTCCGTATTTACCCGGGTTTAGGACCGGCTAGTAACTAGTGAACTAGTTAACCAGGCGAGGTTACAACCAAGACTAATGGTATCTAGAATTTTGTGTTCTCTGAAGCTTTCGTTGTCATTGTAGATAAGAGAAGCTTCACTAGCTTAGAGAACTCAACACCAGCATCAGCTCCGTGAGCATCATCTCAAAGTATTTAGAATTTAAAAATCACTGTTCATATCGAAAACTGTGCAGATTTATTCGGTCAAGCACCGAAGATATTTGTTGTAAGCAGACTGCATACTGAACTGTTTGGCTTATTTATTTATTTCTTCTAGTTGTTGAAACTGTCGAATATTCTAAGACTGTTCTCAAATTACCATTAACACTGTTGTGATATCTTGTTTGTTTTTTTGTTTATAATTAAAAAGTCCCCAAATTTCACGTGTAGATACTCTAACAGAAACATGGGCAAATATGTGGATGAAATTAGCGTCTAGTTGGTTAGCCCTAATCTTATATGCATGGACAATAGCCTGTCCAAGATTGTGTATTGGTCGGAAACTTGGCGCAGCTCCATTCACACCTCGTACACCACATGCTAAAATCTCACAAACTGTACCAGTCGTTTAAAGAAGAACATATGAATATATTGAAGGTGTTGTCCACCTACTTATCCCATAAATAATGATCCGAAATAACTTCCTTTTCTTAGTGTTGTATGTATTGGTGATACACGTTATCGCCTATCATATACCTGAATTGTTATCATCATCAATGATAACAATTGTTAGAAACTACTTCCAACAAGGAAGGTGGTTTCATACAGAAATAGTCAGAATGTTACAAGTGATTATCCCTATGTGTAAACTTAGTTCTTACAATATTTTATTTAAAGATTAAATGTGCTTCCATGAATACAAATTTATTCAATAAACAGAATGTAATGATAAAAACTGGCTATGTATAAATGAAAAATGTGAATGTATCACTGAAATGTATTTACTGATTACTTTGTCATTAGTTTATTATAAATGAAGTTTATTCAAACAGTCTTCAGTCTGCCTTTTGTTTCTTCATATTTATTTCTTCAGTTGGGCAGCTAGTTAACTCTTATGAAGGACAGTGTAAGAAGTTTATTCCCCTTTTAGTCGTATTACTGCAACATAGTTGTTATCTCAATATTACATTATATCACATGAGGGCGTAAAGTAAATCCCCACGCTACTGGTTTTGCATCACTTAGCTTTGTGGCCAGATTGTAAACTTGGTCTGTAAACCTGGATCAACGCTGAGTATTAAGGATTAGAAAACTATGTAGGTTGCTCACTGGTGATCATTCCGTATACTTAGCCTAGTCCTACAATAAATCACTGTCAAACTGAACAGCCAAGGATTGAGATCTCTGACTCTCTTCAGCACTAAGTAGTACAGTTCGAGTCACTAACGCTAGTTTCCTCATATTTTCAGATCTGCCTTACTGTTGAGCTTTGGCAAGCAAGAAACTGAGGTCGAGCAGGGTCTGCTGCCGGTTGACTCCTAACATCTGACATATACGTATCCTATGTTATTAGAATGGACAGTCGGGTTTTTAATACACTGAATATTCCCATTTAGACCTTTAGAAAAAGACTGATTGAGCGAAGAAATATATTCCTTTTCAATTAGGTCTTCATCTTGGGCTCTACACTAATATATAGTTTTACAATTTAATCGAATTACCAATCACGTGGTGATGTTTCGGAAATAATGATGTAAATAATCGGGTTCTTGATTGACGTGCATGATCACTATTATTCAATACAGCTAAAATTCAGCGTTCACTAATAAGGATAGTAGGTCAATTTCGCCTGTGTTATTCCTTGCTTAACGTTCCTTTCTAAATGCGTTCACCGAAGGAGATGATACCAGTTGCTCGAGTAAGGGGTTGCAATCGTTGACCATTGTGCGAGAATGGAATCCTCATGCTTAATTGATTTGACCATAGTTCGTGAATTTCTTTACTATGGCCTCGGAAATAATCGGCTGTTGATAGACAGAGAGAAAACTAAAACATATCAGTTTGAAGGTCATGCTTAGTGATATAAATCATGCCTTCTCCTGAGTTTAGACAATATAAACAGGTTTAATGACTTTAAATAGTCCTCAGAGACCAATCATCAAGTTAGCACTAAATGTTTGAATGTGATCCAATGTCTAATCGTCTTTCATGACGCAAAAACTGGTCGCTGGAATATAGTATTCGAGCGGAGTCGCACAAACGTGAATTACAATATTCCAAACATGTTTTCACCAAAGCATTCGAAAGCCTTGTGAATTGACCATAGTATTTGGAATCGTTCTACTGTGGCTTTATTTTGGCGTGCAAATGTCTTCAAGTCACGTCTGACATTCACTCTCAAGTCCTTGATTTCTTGAATGTCAGATACTGGTGTCCCATCCATTATATACTGATGTTAACTCCTATGACTGAAATGTATAACTTTACACAATTCATTTCTAAACACCAAATGAGCATTTTATTTAAGTCAACCTGTTATTTATGTTTTTCTGCATAGCTATGGATAACATCCCATGTTTTAATATGGTCGGAAAATAATAACGTCAAAAGCTTAATTCTATATAGGAGTTTGCTAGCATACAGTAAGAAGAAGAGAGATCCCAAGATCGTTCCTTCAGAGACCTGTTTCGTCACAGTTCACCACTTAGTGTCCCACTTAATCTGATTATTTGTCTTCATCGAATAAGTATTCCATATTCTGGGTCTGCATTGTAGCGTTTAGTCTAAAATTTGGGCAATTCTAACATACAACACTTTGTCAAACGTCTTACTGAAGTCAATAAACGTAATGTTTGTGAGCAGGACATCAGAAACAGGTGCTGACCCATCATAACGCTGCTTCCAAGAGTACATGTTAACCAGAAAAAATTTGTTTTCTGAATGATATTACTGAAAATTCCATCATAAGTAAAGGTTTTTCATACTCTGAAAACTAAGTTTTTTCAGATATACAGAATCGATTTTAACCACCCAAATTTTTACTATTTATACCATTCGTTTTGCAGCTTCACGACCTTGATCTACAATAACACAAACAAATGTTTTCTGTTAGTGCATCAGCAACCTTTTTCTAATTTTACGGTCAAGTGGGCTATGATACATATATTACCTACATCAGGGTCACAGATGTTCTGTAGGAAAAAGCAGTTACTTGGTGAGCCATAAACTAACAAATTACATGTATATTGAAAGTTTTTTTATTAAAACGCTAACTGAAAGTGTTCCTTTTTGTGCTGAAAATATGCCAGTTGATAAAATATGAATAAGAAACCACTCTTTCCTAATAAGTGGCTAGTGTAATCAGAATATGTAAGTGGATACTACTTAATCTCAGGTTTTATACTAACAAGATTAGTAGTTTAGTCAGTACTTAATCCGACGACTTGAAACTACGGTTAGTTTACTCTGATAATGTGGTGAATGTCTTATGACCTGAAAGATTGAATATATAACAACCGAACTGCTCGCCAGTCAACTGTTAATAGAATATTATCGATAGTGAGTGGATACACAAACATGGGAATAAACTTAGGAAAAGCTGTAAAAGAACACTTATGTAACCTACTTACGGTTGTGTTAAAAGGTAACGAACCACAAGCCTATTACATGTTTATTCACTAAACTTTGAGCCATATTTAATGTCTTACGGTAAGTCATATAATCCAAACTGATGTGCGCGGAGTAAATCAACACCCAAAACCTAATTGTAAACATTTGAGTGCCAGAAGCAATAAGTGAAAACACCTTGAATAACAATAAGTGATAGTTAAGATGCATCACTGAAGTAAACCTTCTAGATTTCGTAGTACAGCTATTCAGTGTCTTTATACCTGAGCGATAACCGACAGACAGCAACACAGAATTATCTGAGCAGTAAATAACATTGTTTCATTATGCATTATCTCGAATCAACAAACCTAATACAGAAACACCTTCTACAACAGTACCAACGCTTCTTACTCTCTTACACGTGTCTCACAAATGACCGTCACATTATTAATGTGGTTCCATACTTCAAGAGAGAGACAGACAGACAGAGCCATTTTCAAATTTGTGTTGCTCATGAATATCGTCGACCTATAAAACCTACATCTTTGATTCTTTTCCAATCATAATTCACAAATGAATTAATATATTTCACAAAACACTGCAAATTGTAGAATGGCCCTGTTCTGTGATCAATTACCAACTTCGATGCTCCATTCCATTTCATTCGTCAATAACTTTACTATGATTGTGATAGATTTTTAAAGTATACACCTCTGAGATAGGAAACAAAATACCTAAAACTGTGAAAGGAAAGTTTAAATCCAAATCATACTTTCACACTTAGAAAGTGAAAGATCTCTATTTATTAAGTTTGTTGAATAATGAATCCCATTCATATAAACAATATATCAAACCCTTGATAACAGGATAAGAAGTGAAATGAATCTAGGTGAAGGAAAATTTTTATATCTTGAGTTTATGAAAAAAAATAAACACGACGAGAAGTGTTTATCTCAACAGAAAGCATAGAAAATAATGATTATCATACAAAGAAGATTATGTAGCAGTCAGTCTGAAATTATTTCTTTGATAAATAACAGTATTAAACGTATGACAGATAAAAGCAGCATAAACTAGTGGAAAGAGAGTGATATTCAAATTGATAGTTAATGTTATGTCGACAGATAAAACTTTTCTGGAAGTTAGACTTAATTCAGTGCTACATAATCAGAAGTAATCTCTGAGGCAAAGATAGACCATTAAGATGGCAGTCAACAAGATGAAAGACAAATAAAAGAAAGGAGATAATGCCAATAGTCAATTAAGTGCCAGGAGACGAAGAAAAACTAACAGCATTTTCAATTGGCTTACCTTCCTTACCTGACACTCAACGCCTAACTCACAAGTTTTTCATATAGTGGTTCACTTCATTTCGAGAAGACTATAATAACTGGATTTTAATCAGTGAGTTCAGATGTTACATTACCTTACCATCCAGGTTTAATTTTTCAAATAGTATTATTCGGATCACTCCTAGCTAGCCACCAGTAAATTTTGAGAGGTGATTCCCGAAGTTCTAGTGAGTTGTGGTTGGTAGGGCTAATCAAGTCGAACATAAGGACAGTTACTCACCGGCGTTATTGGATGGAGGTTGCGCTATATCGTTAACTGACAGAAGTAGGAAATATGGATCATCATATTCCAGCACAATGGCTCAATGGTTACGTGCTGGCCGAGGAACATAAAGCATCTGGGATTGATCTCTGGTGGTATGATGCGGGTGCATTGCTCAAAAGTCCCATACTACGGCGAAACAGCTATCCAGAGCTTCCAGGTTTCCAATGCTTTTCCAACTAGTGTCAGTCCGTGATGAACACCAACCTGAAATATAAACTTATTTGTTTTGTGCATGGTATGTTTTCATAGTGAGTAGAATCTACGGAGTACTGTAGTTTGCGTAGAGACATTAAATGCATCATCAAGTTGATTAGGGAATATAGAGGAACTAAGGACACATAAGCAAAAAAGAAGGAGCGAGTACATATATCGTGAATTGCTTGCATATTAGTTGACTAATTGTGTA